TAGATTAAAGTTCAGATTACTAATCAGAAGGTTGATGGGTTTACACGTTTGGCTTATTTGATTTTTTAAACAAAAGAAATGATTTATTTAGACAGAAGACTAAAAACTCATCATCTCTCAGTAAAATCTAATAAATCAGTTTCCTGCTGCCCTGAAAATACATTTTATATCAACAAAAAACTTAGTTTTCAACCTAATGAGGGATTTTTAAAAACACATTTTACATCAAAATACCTTGAAAAGAATAAAAATATATTTTTCAAACAGGTTGTAAAATATTAATGATAAAGAAGAGTTGTTTGGATTTATGAAATGATTAATTTTATATTTTTGAGAAACAAACAAACAAAATAAAGTGTGGCTTTAGAAATAAATTTAAAAAAGGCAACAAATTATTAAAATATTGAAACTAGAATTTTGTTTTTTAATTAAAATGTTTGGTGGGGAAAAATCAGTGATGATTTATAAGAAAAAAATCATTCCAATTGTTTTAAAACAAAAAAAAATTAATAAAAAAAATCCTTCATTAAAATGATAAAGAAAACGTGAAAATATTTAAAGTTCGAGAACTTCCTGGTAGAGGAGATTATTCATTTTCCACGTAAAATAAAACATAAATTAATAGTTACCTAAAAAAAACAAAACAAAAAAAAAAACAAATAAGTATTATGGCTCACAGAAAAAAGGAAAAAACAAATAATTTTGTTTTAGAAATTAAATGTGTAAGCCACTTTTGATCACAATGAATAAATGTAATAATTGAATATTTTATATGTTTCTGAAGTTTTATTAAAATATTCTTAAAATTTTAATTTAATTATTTTGAACCTAAGACTTAGATCAACTTTTAATAATTACATGACAAAAAATAACTGAGCCTGCATGAAAATCTGTAATATTGTTTTTTTTTTTTTCAGAGCTTATTCATTTTAATTTTTAGTTTAGTTCTTTTAAAAACTAAAACGCTGAATGAGTTGAACCCATCAGAGGTTCGGAGTTCACAGCCTGAAGAAGGTGCAGTGGAACCAAATTTTTTTTGTGGGGGGGGAACAATGCAGACACCCCCCTCCCTCCTTCTGATTGGTTCACAGTCTCTGTTGTTTTTGCAGCTCAGAATAAATGAGTCCTGTGACACAGCAGCAGTCTGCACATCATCAGCACAGGTAATAAGTCACCATTAACACCCCCCCCCCCCCACACACACACACACACACACACACACACCCATACACACACAGTTCAGTTTGTTTGTTTCAGTGTACAGTCAGAACTTCACGCTCTGCCGTTTCTCCGACAGAACGGACTTCCAAAGTTCTGGAAAATCCTGGAAAGTGTGTGAACCGATCCCATTTCTGTTTTTAAATATTTTCAGAAAAGTTTGCTTTTCATCATTTTTGGAACCGTGCACCGTAATGTTTCATAAAATAAGATCCAGCCGGACAATCAAATGAAAGTCAGCTGTTTTCCACTGACCGGATCAGAACTGTGGAAGTTCTGGACGTATTTAAAGTTTTGGCGTAGACCTGGTCCACCTTCACACAGCTGCTTTATTGGCTTTTTAAAAACAACTTTTGAACAATAAACTGGACATTTTTTAAATTCTATTTATTCTATTTTATATTTCTCTGCACATATTGTGTTCAAAAGAAATATCTGATTTTCATTTGTTCATTTTTAGTTATAAATGTTTTATTACTCTTATCAATTCAGGTTATTTCACTGAACTTTTAGGTTTTGTTTCTTAAAAGGGGGTAAAACTTTTTGTCTGTAAAACTTAAAGGTTTAAGAACTCCAATAAAAAGAACGAGCTCTCTCTGAAGATTTAAAGATGCAACGTAAAAACATCGACTGGAGGAAAGTTTAATTCATTAAAAAGTTAAAAAATTCAAATTGATATTTTCTCTTCCTGTAATGTTTTATTTTGGACACTCGCTTCCCGTTAAATCATTTTTAACTTCTGATTTCCACCTTTTCATTCTCCTCCTGATAAACCCGATCAGAGAGCAGCTGCTGGACTTCTCCATCAGAACCTGCAGTCAGTCCAGAAACACCGGCTGGGTTCAGCTCAGTGAACCTGCTCCCTGCTGGCTCCCCGGGGCCCAATAAAGCCGCTGCGGTGAACCTTCGGCGTGCTACGAGCCAATAAAGCGGGTGCTGCTGACGAGCCTCAGAACCAGCAGCTGTGTGAGTGGAAACAGAACCGACGGAGGAGCTTTCTGTCAGCAGCTGTCAGACTGGACAGTTCTGATCTGACAAGACTCCATCAGCACACAGAGTCCGAACCATTGATCATACCAGAACTTTATTGGAGATACACGGAGCTACAATTAGAAACAACAAAACAGAAACGTCCAAGAAAAAACCCAACGTGAAAGTCTCTGATCGATAAGGTGCAGACCACTGCAACTCGGTGTTACGGGCCACGCGTTCCTCAGGTCTGAGATCAGCCACGTCAGAACCCCGCTGCGGTTCGCTCAGCTCGTAAAGGGGAAAAAAAAACGTCGCAGGAAACAGAGTGACATCACACGAGTCACTTCCTGTTGGGCTCTGATCCTGGAACTTTAAATACTGAAGACGTCCTGAAGATCGCAGGCGACCGCTGCCACCTCCTGGCCCTCAGTCACAGAACCTCTCAGCTTAATCTCAAACATTTGCCGATTAAAACGTCTCCAATTAAGAGTCGGCTTTTATAAAAACATATTAAAACGTTCAGAGGAAAACAGCTGCAGCTTCAACAAGAAGAAGAAGCTCAAACCCTGAAGTAACGATGATCTAACAGTGAAAAGCAGCTGGTCAGACGTGACGACATGAGGATATAAAAAGCATTTAGTTTGTGTTGCCTGCAGGAAGCTGAGGAAGATTCCGAGTCCGATTCCAGTCAGATTATTTGATCTTCTTCTTAATTAAAACTAAAAACTAAAAAAACAAGATTATTTACGAGTTTGTTTGGTGACTGAGGTCCAGGACATGAGAATGCTGCGATGCATTTCAGCAACATGGATGAATAAAAACGCGTCTAAACATCAATGGGTCGGAGCAGAAGCTGCAGAAATCAGAACGTCTCAGAAAACTCCATAGGTTGCAGCATCCGATCAAAGTTAACAGAAGTCCTCGAACGCCTCGTTTCCACACAACTGATTGGAAACGCATTCAAAACTCGGCTCAAGCGTTTGTTATTTTACGTAATCAGATGAGCTTTTGACTAAAGAAAAAATAACTTCTTACATTTTTTTTTTTTTTTTTGCAGGTGGAAGGACGTAGCAGATGAGCTTGGCAAAAAAAATAAATAAATCTGAATGAACAAGACCAATAACTTACTGGGAGAACCAGAAATGTTCACAGCTTTTAAACCTAAAAATCAGACGATATAAGAAACGTTTCAGCCAAACCTCCAAATGCACAGATTCAAACCGGACGCTGTGTGGAAACGAAGCTCGAGTGAAATGAAGAGAAGTTCTGAGATTCTGAGCCTTCCTGTCGTCACATCAGTGATTTTTTCCCCTTTAAGCTGCTCAGATCCAAACAGAACATGACAGAACTCAAGTTTGAAGCACCTCTTCACGCAGCGGGTCATGTGACCGTTCTTACGGACGACGCGCAGGAACGCCGTGCGCACCGTAACACCGGCGGTCCATTCTCTCCTCCGACGGCTCCCTTTCACTCTGACATGAGGTAAAATGTGGCGCCCAAGTGCAATGCTCTTTGTGCTACATGTTCAACAAGAAAAAGGATAATAAAAGCCAGTAGGAGAGCAAACGGTCGACACACGCCCTCTGACAAAAATTTAAACCTGATGGGACGCTGATGCTCCGCTGCAGATTTCAGGTTCTGCGTCTTGAGCGCCTCAGTCGGTGTGTGTGGGACTTCCTGCTGGAGGTAACCACGGGATGCACTCTGCCGGACCGAGCCGAAGAACGAGGAGCAGAGTTCACGGTTCATAACGCAGGTTTGTTTAAACGAGCGAGCTGGTGAGTTACAGCCACGACATAAAAGACTGGCTCTGCCTCAGTTTTACAGGAAACCCACGCGAAGTGAACCCCTCCAAAACAGACAGCTGTTCTGCTAAAAGTAACATCTGCCTGTCTTCATTTCTGAAGTGCACTCCAGCAGATTGAAACATAAACGTATGGGACAACTGCTGAAGCAGGTCTAATGTGGGCGGAGGTGTAAATAATAAGCCGCTCAAACGGTGGTCGTTTCTCACAATTTTGAGTTTACAACTAGAATAATGACATCATTCATTTATTCTAATCACTTTCACAGGAATGTAAATACATTTTAAATGTTATGATCAGGTTGAAACGTTTGGGTTTATTTTCTGTTTTTTGTATTCGCAGAGCAGCTGTCTGTGTCTTGAGCCCTCTAGGCCACCGTCCAGACTGTAAAAATGTTACTTGAAATGTTAACGAGAGGACGATGTCCCACAGAGAAGGCGCACGCGTCTGTGTCGCAGTAACACGACTGCAGCGAGCGCCGCCCTCAGACTCACGGAGCCGAGGTAGAAACCATGCGGACAAACGTCTCCGCTCGGATCCGAGAGTGCACCCCGGTTACCTCCGTCAACCCTCTGCTCCTACCAACACATCTGCAAATTAACAGCGGGCCTGCCCCCGCTCCACCCCCCCCACGCTGTCAGGCGGGGAGGAGTCATGAGGCGACAGACAACCAAACAAAATAAAGGAGGTATCATAGTTACAGTGCAAAAAAATGAGAATTTCAAGCTTAATACAAAAAAACATAGCACCAAACAAAAAGAAAAGAACAAGAACGCATGCAATTAACTGAGGTATTCACGTGAAACAATGGGCTTATTGACGACATGAAGCAGGAAGCAACAATTATCAGGAAATAAAATAAAATAAGAAGCTGGTTTTCTCAGGAATCGATTCAGACAGTCACACATGTTTTAGCTTTGGTTCGGCGTCAGGAACACACCTAAACGTCTGCAGCACGAGAGCTGGCTCCGCCCACATCTCCACAGTAACAATCCCCCCCCCCACCCCCCAATAATGACTTGATATTTTAGATCGATTCCACCCATGTCTCCATGGCAACAGCCACCAAACTCCACCCCATGTTGAGTGTGGCAAGTCAGTCTGACGTCACCCATGTCTCCATGGCAACAGCCAAGAAACCACGCCCCTGCTTGACTGCTGGTTCAGCTCGAAAGCCTCCATGGCGACGACTCCAATGCGCCACCGCTCATTAATAAAAAGCCGTTTGTTGTTTCTACAAAAGCTACAACAACATGTAACAAAGTGCGCTGCTGGGAAACTACAGTAACTGGGAATGTTGGGATTCCTATCGGACACGAGGGACGGCCTCGGCGTTCCGAGGTCTCGTTAGAGTCTACAGTTTTCAGGTACGTTCACTTCGCTACGAAGATGATTTGGCGTCAAAGAGACCACGTGTTCGTGAAGAAAACCGATGGAATAAGTGCAAATCTGATCAGGAGCGCCGTCAGAGGAGGAGACGGAGCGGCAGCAGCTGCAGTGGTATCAGAACCGTCTCACACCGAGCAGAACCAGCGTTTCTTCTTCCTCTGATTTCAGTTTGTTCAGACTAAACACTACGATGAGGCTGGTCTCAGGTGCAGCAGCACACCTGAGCTCGTCCACACACCGACAGTAAAGCAGTCATGTGATCATGCGAAGCAGAAAGGAAAGATTGTGTCTGCGCAAACGAAACGATGAAATGATGAAACGATGTGATGTGAGCTCAGCGTGTTCTGCTGTGGCGTCTCCACACCCCGTTCCTGTTGGAGGCTGCAGGACGCCACGCTGTGGGCTCCGGTAGGTGCTAATGCTGCGAGCTCACAGCTCAGTTGTTTTGGACCTGAGGTTGATTGGCTTTGAGGCTGCGCAGCGCTCGTCGAGCCGCCGCCGACTTGGCGATTCTGTAGCTGCGGCCCACTCCTTTGAACTTGCCCTTCCCGACCACCTCCACCGTCACACGCACCTTCCCGTCGTATGTGCGCTCTGCAGGGCTGCAGACAAGACAGATAGGTTAATATGCCACTCCTGTGCTACAAGTTAGCCAAAATGACAAGCTAATGTTAGCATGAATTAGCTGAAATATAACGTGTATGTTAGCTGTGGTTAGCTAAAGTGATACGCTAATGTTAGCTTGAGTTGGTCAAAGCTTTGGTCGATCCGTCAACAATTTCTAATCCTTCACCCTCTCATCATTTTATCTCCCACCCCTTCTCTGACTGAATAAATCTGTGGCATGGACGGAACATCCTCTCCAGGATGTGCGCTTAACATCCAGACGTGTATGTCCTCCTACCTGAACTTGGCAGTTTCTGGTTCCATCTCAAGAAGCTCCCTGACAGGAGAGCGTGGCACATTGGCAGAGAATTTCTCTGCAGGAGAAAGAGGAGCGATGAGATGACGATGACTGCTTTCAAACATCCAGACAAAGGTTAAGGTCTCACCTATGAGAGGCCTCATCATTGGATAATAGACCTGCCACACCGTCTCCAGGGACATCCTGCTGTCCATGTAAATGGCTCCAGCCAGGGACTCAAAAATGTCCCCCATGGCCTTCGGGACCTCGATATCCTCCTCTTTCTCCTCGTCTTCTTCAGAACGTCGCAGCTGGAACAAAAACACAAGCAGGACATGAGATACGATAGTAAACTTAAATAAACCTCACTGGATCCACTGATCTCTGAATCACTTTAACCAGGAACAGAGCAGCTCGACCAGGTGGAAAAATTCCATAAACACGTGACTTTGGCGTACAAGTCGCAAAGCATGCAAATTATGCAAAAAAAAAAAAAAAAAAAAGTGACTTATAGGCTGAAAAATACAGTACTTACTACTACTATTACTAAACCCCGGAGAGATGACCTTAAATCTTGTTCTTTGAGTTCTCAGTGAGCTCATCAATGTGTTAACAGGAACTCTCAGACTCTGAACAGAAACTAAATGTAAAATTGTAAATGTAAAAGCAGTTTCAGAGGTTGAACTTTCAGGAAATCACTAACTTCTCAGTATATTTGTTCTTAGAAATGACGATAAACCAAAACAAGCAAAATAAGAAATAAAACAACTAAATACTCCTTCCATATTCTAAATGAGGATCCACACGCCAGTTTTGTTTTTCTGTCCCGATCCACAGCTGTTTACATCTCACCACATAAGCAGCCACTACACGGTTCTGTGCAGAGGACACAGGAACATTCAGTCATGAGACGCCATGAAACCACAAAGTTTGCTTTCTTTCTTTCAGCCTTGTATGTTTATATCTGCTGCTCTTGAGGCAGAAAATACCTCTCAGGCACAACAAAGAGCTGATGTCGTGCCAAGAAAGTCATTCCCAGACAAATCCACCACACATGCCTTCAGTTTTACTCAGTGGAATACGAAGCAGAACCCCGCTGACTGTTTCTGAGAGCTCAGATCAGTTTTTTGGCTCCAGGCCTTTGTTCTCAGAAACAAGACTCACCTCAGAGTCCATGCCCTGCATCTCGTTCTTCTCCAGCTGAAACTGCACAAAGTCATCAATGACGTAGAACAGCTCCGGTGAGATGGACTTGAAGTACTTGTGGTAGTCGTATTTGACTGCCAGCGAGGCGAAGATGGTGTTGTTGACGAGCGCCGAGCGCAGGTCGGTCAGCACGCCTGGCGAGTGCTGCCGCGGGTCTTCGTAAAGGTGCTTTGTTATGAGGTAGTCTAGGATTGCATCGCCAAGGAACTCCAACCGCTGGTAACAATCTGAGGAGGCACAGATAGAACTGAGCTGAGGTCAAAGGTCGGGAGGTAAAGGTCACTCGGAGCGCAGACAGACCTGTGATGGTGTTGTAGTGGTAGGAGGCGTGGGTGAAGGCCTGCAGCAGGTACGCCTTGTTCTGGAACGTGTAGTTGATCTTCCTCTCAAAGTTTTCAAACCCAGAGATGAGGTGCTGCAACGTTCGCTCTGCGTCTGGGTGATTCAGCATGCAGCGGGGCGGGATCTTCAGCCAGCCATACGTCAGGTCCACGGTTAGAGTCTGACCGCTCCGCACCAAAACTAATGACGATGTCTGGGTCGCCCGCTCCACCGGTAAAACCTGCAGTCAACGAAAGACACAAACAGTCAGGTGGATCAATGTCTCCTCTGCATCTCATCCCCAAACTAACAATTTATATTCCAGAAGAAGCATCTAAATGTTGGGTTCTTGTCTCCATTCTTCCAGTTCATCGCAGTTTTACAGATTCCAGATACAAACTCGTTATGGGTTTTTCTATTTATCTGAATATTTTCTGGTGTTGACAAGCCCTGCTCAACTGAAGCCCAAGTATGGAGGAAGAGGAAAAAGTATTTATCCAAGCAAGCCTAAGGGCTAGCCCTGCAACCTGCGGCTCTTTGTAGCTTTGACCAAAACTTACATGAAATTTAATTGTATTGCTTTTTATACCCACAATAGAAAACTTTTTGAAAACTACTTTACACATCTTTTTTGTCCTAAAATCTAAAAATATCATTAAATGTTACAATTCATTATATATTTTTAGTTTTATAATGTCATCCCCACTGACCAGAAGTGTCCCACTCTAACAAACTGGCAGCGGTCCATGGGCCACCAGTTGATTATCAAAGCTGTATCAGGTCTTGCAGCTCTGCACGTTTCATTTAGTGAGCAAAGGGGCAGAAATGGCTCTTTTAATCAAAAAGCTTGCAGAACCCTGAGCTAGCCAAGCAAATTACAGATTTTTGTCGTTTTCCTGGCTTTTAAAACAACTTTTATTCAAAAACGGCACAGCAATGCGAGATAACTTTGTTCGGTGAAGGAAACAGCAACAATCTAAATAAACAGTGTCGTGGAAAAATGTAGAGCATTATAAAAGCTTGAGAAATTATTCTTTAAAACTGGCCCTTTAAATACTTTTGCCTCTTTTGTCATACTCTGTGCTCTGAGACTGATATAAGGGAAGACTGATAAGATATAAATTGTAAACTATTTTACAGTACAGTAGTCCCTCGTTTATCGCGGGGATCTGTACCCTGAAGACCAGCGATAAGTGAAAAACTGTGAAGAAGGAATAGTAGTACAAGTAGTAAGCAATAGTTTATTTTATCATTTATATATTAGGGGTGCACCGATTGCAGTTTTCTGGCCGATCACCGATTTCTAAAAAGTTCTGACCTGCTGATTCCGATTTTGTTTAATAAACGACACTGTCAGGTGTTATAAGGCCACAATGCACCTTCAACTCTCCAATATTTTATTGAAAAACATAACCTTGAACAATATCCCAGAAACAATACAAACTTGTTTTAACTGGCCATGAAGTTTTGCTCTGAAATATAAATGGAAGTTCAGACAAATGTTGTTAAAACTAAAAAAAATTGGTAAAATCGGCTTCTCATGCAAGTAGCAGCCGATTTCCCAAAATTAAGGAAATCGGGGCCAATTTATCGGAGCACCCCTATTATATATATTTATATATTAAGACGTTTTAAACACTTCCCACACTCTTGCAATATTCTAAACAATGTTTCTAAACTCTAAACGAACTCTAAACGAGCACAGAATATCATGATTTCAGCTGTGTGCCTCCTCTGCTCTTTGCAACCTGCAAGCACACTTGGCCACGCCCACTTCTCCACTCTGCACGCTGATCAGCTGTAACGAGAAGTTTATCCTGCAGTACGGGCTGCACAAATGTACAGCAGGTGCCAAATAATTTAAAATAATTTATTTTAAATAAAAATTCCATGCCAATCGTGCAGCTCGTCCATCAGTGTGTCATGTCCAATCTTATTTTGAAAAACCGCGATAGAGCGAGGCTGCGATAAACAAACCGTGAAGCAGTGAGGGACTGCTGTACATCACTTCAAAAACTATTAAACTATCCTTTAAAAGTGGGCGGAACAGGACAGCAAAATATGTGCATGGCTGAGCATGTAGTTTTGCAAGTTGTTTACACAAAACTAGGCTGTGATTTTCTAAAAGACGGCTCAGAAGACGATCACACGACTTGCTGGTGGCAAACAAAGAATGTAGCGAGACTGCGACAAGACATTTGTCTGTTTTCTTGCAATTTTGAGACACCAACTCATATCAGTCACATCCCAGTGTGATACTACCTTAAAGATGCTCGTATCTTGTATCACCACATCAAGAATGTTTACATGGAAATGTTCAGTAAAGGTCTAAACCAGAACAGATTCTGGAGGAAGTGGTGCATCAAATGATGCAGAGGAAGGTGACAAGTTCTGTAGTGACTGTCCTCTCCAAGTGTTTGAATAATATGGATGATGCTCTGGTTTCTCTGGAGTATTTTTCCAAAGTTGTATATATGAGGGACATGTCGACTCACCTTGAGGCCCAGCGAGCACAAGAACATCTGGGCGGCCCTCTCCCCACAGCTGGTCAGGTAGCAGCCCAGCAGAGCCTCCACACAGTCGGCGATGCTCTTGTCAGCGATGCACTGCTCCGTGTGCAGGTCATAAGAGATGGACTGCTTCCCAAGCTCCGTGCCGCAGTTCTCTTCCGACGGGTTCCAAAAGCCCACCACGAAGTCGTCCTCCTCCCCCGCCTTGCTGGGGTCCAGGTAGCACATGGCGTCCCACGAGCTGTAGTCAAACTCCTCAGCCACATGTACCTGCTCAGCTGGGTGAGTGGGCTTCTTGGGGGGCTTCCATTCGTAGGAGGGGTCCATGGAGGGGGAGGAGCCCGAGACAGGGCTGGGGGAGTGGGGGAAGCCGCTAAGAGAGATTTTCTTCCCGAAGGCTCCCGAGCCCAGCAGCATGTTGTCGATGAAGCGGATGTGCTCCTTGTAGTACTCCAGATCATCCTCCATGTTGACGTCGTACTTCGGCTCGTCCTTCAGCATCAGTTCTTCTTCGTCCTCATCCTCACACTCATCGTCCCGCTCCTCGTCATCGAAGTCATTCCCAGACCTCCCATTGGACACCAGCTCCTCTCTGGCCTGGATGAAGAACAGGAAAAATCAAAACGCAGCACAGGGGGAGAACAACTGGCCTTGACGTGGGACTCAACAGAAGACCAACCTCAACAGAGTCCATTCTGTCGGTGCTGCTCTTGTCCTGGTTCACCGCGTATCCAGGAGGCAGCCAGTTAACTGGGGGGTCGAAAATGGACACTACCATCCTGCTGGGGAGTCCTTTCTTCTTCCCCAGACGGTACAGGTTACAGTTGCTCACCTGGAGGACGCACAGACCACGAGGAAACACCACACTGATACTCGTTGCAAAGTAGGAAATCAAAAAAGTGGTTCTGAACTAAATGAAGCAGTTTGAAGGTGGGTGCAAAACAATGAGGTAGGCAACAAAATAATGTGCACGGTCAAGAATAGTTTTAAAAGCTGTGCACACAAAACATGCTGTGATGGCCTCTCAAAACGAGCTGCACGACTCGATGGCGACTGATTCAGACTGCAGTTGAAAATCCATGCACTTTACCTGAAATTTGAAGGATTTTTAATCAACTAGTCTCCCAAAGGTTGCAGATGTTAATGAGTTATCACACTAATCCCTGATAAAAGACAAAAAACCGTGTGCAGACTCTTCAAGTGTCATGGGTAGAGCAGCTGTTAGACCTGGCTGCAGACTCTCTGTGTAGATTTTACATGTTCTCCCTGTGCTGCATGGGTTTTCTCTAAATACTCAGTTTTATGCCCATGCAAGTCAGCTTACAGCTTTAAACTGTCCCTAGATGAGTGTGGTTGTTTGTTTGTCTCGGTGTGGCTCTGTAATGGACTGGTGACAGGTCCAGGGTGTCCTCCACCACTCGTCAATTAACTGATGGAGATACAGTAGGTACCAGCTCTCTATGACTCCACATGAAAAAGCAGGTAAACAATTAAATGAATGGGTTTTATTTCTAACTTTATGCCTTAGATCATTACTCATTACTATGAGTAATGTCATGAAAACTCGGGAACATTTAGTCTTCATCACTTTGAACACTCCCACCTAAAACAACATCCCAGCTCCAACTGTAGGAGCTCTGTGTTGGGATTTTTTTTTTAAAATACTGACAGACATAATTAATTTAAACATAGGCTGAAAAATAAAAGGTTTGAATGTTTTAAACAAAACTGCAGGTCAGAATCAACTGCTAGAACTTAACGTTCACCTTTAATTTACCCAAATTACTACGCAGGTTGTTGAAAACTGAAAAGACAAAAGTTATGTTCCAGCACAAACTGTACAGAGTTTAAAGACTCAAATAAGTCAGGATTTAATTACAGGAACAGCCCAAAGGTGCGGTTCTTTCTACAACTTCTAAGCTCAACCTTTAGACAGGAAGTAGTGTGCGTGCCTCACCTTTTTGCTGCGCATGTAGCTGAGGCGGCCCTCATGGGCGTCAGAGTAGGTGCAGAACAGGTAGGTGGTGATGGCGTGCTTCAGGAAGGAGTCTCCAAGCATCTCCAGGCGCTCCAGATTGAAGCCATCGCTGGCATTAGACAGAGTCAGCGCCTGCAGGATCAGGCCTGGGTTTGGTCCCAGGTTCCTGGGGGAGTCTCTGGCTACAGTGAGGTCAGGGCGAGGGGCTCCTGGCTCGCTGTCTGAGGTAGTTTCATTGGCACGAGTACATTCATGGCTGGGCTGGGGAGAACTGGAGCTGAAGGGGGGCTGCATGGGAGCTGAGGTAGTGTCGTGTTTGGACTCAAAGGAGCTACAGCCTTGGTGGCTGTCAGGTTGCTGAAGGTGCTCATCTCGGTGGCCGTCATCGTCGATGGCCGTGCCGTTAGTTAAGTTCTGTGTGCAGTGGCCCTCTCTGGGACAGGGGGCAATATGTGTCCCCTGGTGGCCACAGGGGGTGAGACTCTGGTGCATACAGTCAGCGTCATCGCTGCAGGACTCGGGACAGGAGCTGAGAGTCTTGATATCGATGGATCTCTTCCAGCCAAAGTCCAGGTTCGAATACCTGACACGGACAGAGCAGGTCAGCTTTAGATCCAACAACGCCTCGAACATTCTGGCACGTAATTTTGATCGAGCAGTAATCGAAATCAGTGCCTAGAGAATTTAATCAGATTTGGTTTCCTATCAGACACTTTTATGTGCTGTATCAGAACTGGTAGTATTACTCTGAAAGGAGAAAAATAACAGTTTAGTGCATGTGGTGTTTATTATTATTATGATGTATAAATGACACATTTTACACCTGATCAGCCAATCACAGCTCGACCTGAGAAAATTCCAAATAAAAATGTTTTATTGTTTTTTTTTTTTAAATGCACCAGATTAAAACAAAAATGAATCTGCTAAATGAAGTGAAATCATCTCCATGTTAGTTCAGCAGGATGAACAGTAGGTGGCACCAGAGAACGAAGGAAGAACCTGAAGTCTGGGTTTGATTGATCAATGTGCTCTGAACTAAGATAAAAACGAAATCAGCCATTAAATGAAGTTATTTTTAGAACAGAGAACTTTTGAGATTTTATCTGACTTCTTTAGATTTTTATTAGTTTTGCTGTTTTATGATACTGATCTATCATTTTCTGAATCATGCTTGATTTAATTTTATTTATAAATTAATATTTTTGTATATATTTTATTACTAGATGGGGATGGGGGATACATTTGTAGAATATCTGTCGTCTGACAAGAAACCGGATTGTTCTGTAGATAACGTATTTGAACTAATGGGACACTTTTTGATTGATCTCTGTGGGAGGGGCTTGTTGTGTCACACGGTGCAGTGTGTCTGATGGACACCTGAAGTCTGGGGGGAGGGTTTGCGCCCCCACTCCGGCCTCAGTGGCAGTCTGAGCTCGCAGCTCCTCGGCAGTCAGCAGGCAATGGAGGCGGTACAGGATGCTGGGAAGACACACGGCTTTCCTCCACAGGGAGGCGGGAATGGGGTGGATGGCACACAGCTCCGGAACCAGGATCTGACCCCACGACACAAACAGAAACTGTCAGGCACAATCAAGCAGGCACACGGGTCCAAACCCAGACAGAACCATCGGCTCTGACCTGTTTGTTCTGCAGACTCTCCCACTTGGCTTTCCTTTTCTCAGCGCTGCTCAGAGGCAAAGCTTTGCCCTTCTGGTTCAGGTGTCGGGGGGTCAGCAGGTTCAGCCTGAGGACAGCAAACCCGCCCCACACAGAGAGACACGTTGAATAAAAAACAACAAACCTGCAGCTGTTTTAACACAGATCAGAGGCCTACTCACCTGGAGGAGGTGTGGTCCACATCCAGCAGCGGCTGGTTCAGGTTGGATAAGTCCAGGTTGTACTTGGTTTTGTAGTACTCTGCGAAGGTCTCATACTCTGGCGAGGGAAACTTGCTGAGTGGCGTCAAATCTGTGTACACGTCGGCCACATAGAAACGATGAGGCTGGTCGAAGTTACGATACCTGAAGGGGAGGAGAATGACAAGTTCAGAGTTTTAGTTTATTTTCTCAAAAAATATTCAGTCTCTGTTAAACTGTGACACCTTGGAATGATGACAGCATCCTGGTAGTCCTCCAACTTGAAGATGAAGGGGTTCTGCTTGGTGTATTTAGTGGTAGGAATGCCTGTGCGGGCCTCAGACTTCTCAATGTCCTCCATGAACCTAAAGTCCATGTCTAGAGTGAATGAATCTCCAACTGATGCAGAAGACAGAGAGAATGATAGAAGCACACTGACAGACCCATGTACTGATAATGAGGAGGAGGAGGCGATGAAGAGCACTCACCAACATTCAGAGGTAGAACGCAGTAAGCTGAGTCAGCCTGCGTGGGCTTGAACTCCAGTGCAGGTTTCTCCAGGCGGAGGATGTGGGAGAAGATGTACTGGTGCATGCGGGTGATGAGGTCCAGCTGGGCTGCGCTGAGCGTGAAGCCACATTTCTGTAGCTCGATGGAGATCGTAACCTCGCCCGAACGAGTGTACACTGGGAAATGGGGGATCTGTACAAGATGGAGGGGAAGGAAACTTAAATTATGCATCTCTAATGAGGAAAATGGGGTAAACACAAATACTGAACAGAAGTGTGACTGTTGAATAAAGCAACATGTACAAGTGGAAACCTACTCGAGGTATGGGTTTGGCAGTCAGGATGCCAAAGCAGCGGGTGGTGTCCTCTGGTCGGTACAGTTTCCTCCTGCGGAAGTTGAGTTCATCAGGGAGGGGCGTGGTGAGGACCATCCCGATGACATACAGGTAGTACGTCTGCTTCAGGAGGGCGTAGCTGTCCTGCAGACACTCCGGTATCTGTGGACGACACGTCACCTCATGTAAATATTTACTTACTGATTTTAACAACCTGAAACCTGCGAAATTTAGCCTTTTCTTTTCATCCTGATTAAATCGGAGCTGACATTTCTGTTTAAAATTACAAGTTTAGCATTTAGCACTGGTCAAACCTTGAAAATAACATTTTTCACAATTTCATGCGAGATAGCAAGAGTCAGATTCAGACCACGGGTTGTGATCGAATCTCCGCTGATACCACATAAAATTTGAGCATGACGTACTGAGTTTCATGGTATATTTTGCTAACAGACAAGCGCAGGCTAAAAATAAGATTGCATGTCTATCGGCTTTCTGCAGCGTGATAATATAACAAACAGCAGGAAGTAGAGGATCATCTCCCCGAACCTACGGCTTTAGGGTAGCACTGCCTCCTCTTGGTGGAGCCGGGTCGACCTGGGACGTTGGTCTCCTCCTCATCGTGGAGGTCCAGCTCCTCCTCGTACTTCACCGTCTCCTTCCCCACAGGCATCAGGTGATCGTCCAGCTCACCTGCGACCGAGCAAAACCAGAGAGGAGTCAAACCACAGAGAACCGGTTCCAGGTTTTTCCTGACGGTCAGTAAATTGGATTTCTACCGATTTTGTGGAGCTTCTCGCAGCAGAGCAGTGCGACAGCTTTTTCTGCCAGCCGCGCGCAGTTCATGACGGGACCCTGAACACAGAAACACATCAGTACGATGAAGAGGCGAGGGTGAACGCTTACTCATTCATGAGAGAGGCAGAGCTGAACCTTGACAGGAGCTCTCAGAGGAGAGTTTATGGGTAGGTAGAGGGTGGATTGGAAGCGTCTGTCCTGCAGCTCCTTAGTTTTACATTTCGGAGCGAGGTGAGTGAATGGGTCACTCGGCAGCCGAGCACAATACCTGAAATCAGAGGAAAATTCTTAAAATATAGTTGTTGTTTTTTTACTCTATGCTATTATTGTAGCATAAAACTCTTCCTTTACCTGTTAATATGTCCAATGGCGGTGTTGATGGTGACCTGCGGACCTCCATCCTCAGACTGCAAGACGTATGGAGGCATGATGCTATCATCATCCAACACCTGATCTGCTTCAAACTCACCCACCTCCACAGACTTGGAGCATTTATTTCTCAGGATCTGCTCAGAATGAAACCACATCATTAATCATCCTCCTCTCTTTATGCTTCCTCGGAGAACAGTTTTGAATTAGCTTTTATTCAACCCTACAATTTAAGCAGCTTCAGGTGCACATATAAACCACACTTCCTGCTAAAGAACTTAACGTGCTCGGTTTTCAGCGGGAATAGTTTTAAAACGACGAGTTTTAAGAATTTTTTTTTACTGCAACAAAACCACCACACGGTGTTCCTCAAAAGTTTCCTCTGCTACGTTCTACAAACCAGTTCCTGCTCAGTCAGGTCATCAGTTACCTTCTCGATGGCCTTATAGGTGGTCAGATCCTCCTCAAAGCTTTTGGTCCTCTTGGAATCTGCCAGCATGATGTAGTTGGAGACAGGGGCCCGGGCTCGACCCTTGGACTGAACGTAGGACCTGTAGTCAGTGGGTAGGTCGAAGCGCACCACCAGGTTACACTTTGGGATATCGACACCTTCCTCCACGATGCTGGTGGCAATCAGTAGGTTGGTTTCATGAGCTCTGAACTTTCTGAGGACCTGGGAAAGAAAATTACAAACAAACAAAAAAAAAAAATCACATTTATTGTTTAAAACCCATCTGAGGCTAACAGTGACCGTTTATCATGCGGTGTAGCCTGTTTGTAAAACTAACTTTACCTCCTCCTGTTTCCTAAACTCAACCTCCATCTGTTTGTTCCTCGGCTGGTTCTTCCCGATGCTGTGGCCCGTGATGAAGTTACTGTTGATGTAAGCCAGCTCCAGGTCCTGCTTCCCCGCCTCTTTGATCAGACTGCAGACAGCAGCAACACAAAGACACTTACTCTGATGAGCTGTCACATGATTATATTTCCCCTGACCCATCTGTGCGTTTTAGTCCAAAACATCACAGGAACAAAAGGATGTAAACCCTCTTTGAGAGCCATCGTACCGGTTCAGGACCACCGCCGTGTACCGCCTCTCCACAAAGATGATCCCACACAGGATGTTGGTGAATGGTGAGGGAAAGTTAGCCTCGGGCCTATCTTTAGCCTCCACCTCCTCGTCCTCGTCTTCATCCTCCGAGTCGCTCCAGGACACGTAGTTGTCCTGGTTGCGGTTGTTGTACCACTCGACACTCTCAAACTGCTGCCGCTCCAGAGGCTTGTACTCGTGCAGGATCTCGAGCAGCCGCAGGACTTTCGGCGTGACGAACTTCAGGTCCAGGGAGGCAGGAGAGAACTGCTCTTCGCACAGAGCGTGGACTTTACGCAGGATGGTGTCGGTGAAGAGCAGGAACTTACGGTTCAGCTCCTCCTGCTCGTGTTTGATGTACTTTTGCAGCTCACGCACCATGATGCCTGCGGCCTTGTCGGCACACCAGGGACCCAGAACCTGCAGCACGGCTCGGCAGTCGCTCAGGATCTTAAGAGGACAGAGATCCGCTGTCAGTCACTTCACACAGAAGAAACTAAATAAAAAAACTGAGGGATTTAAGGACGCAGATCTTTGATTCTGACCTGTTTGGAGATAAACGTGGGGTCCCGGTCCTCTCTGGAAACACGGATGTTGCAGTCATTAAGGAAGTGTAGAGCTTCATCCAGCTCCGCCTGCAAATGGGATGAGAGCCCACTTTTATCCACGTAGGGACCACAGTCCAGCACCACTTCCCTCGGCTGGGACGTGTACCTGAAACACAGGGTGCGGTGTTTGTTAGTCAACCAGAACAACCATCTCAGACTGAGCCCGGTCCCGCTCTGTGCGGGGGCTGCACGCACCTGTCAAGGACCACCAGGTCAGTGGCGGTCTCAGCTTTGCTCTTCAGAATCCTCTCCAGATTCTGGATCTTCTGCTCCAGTTCTGACGGGTCACACTTCCCGTTGAGGATGGAAGCAGTGAGGCCAAGGATTCGAGGACCACAAGTGCACTCCTCAAACAGCTGCACACCCAGAGAACAGCCATGCTGTGATACGGGTTTCTTCTTGAACGAATCAACAGTTGGGGAGCGTCTCACCTTCATGATGTCACCATATGGGTGATCTGTGATGGCCAGGTGACAATCGTCAAACACCACCAGGTTGATCTTAGACAGAGGTAAGATCTTGGTCCTCAGAATGTGCAGGAAAATGTGGCATGTCATCACCAGCACCTGAACCAGATGATTTAGTAATCAGATTCTGATACGCTTTACACACACAGGATTACATGAATTAATTTTCTACCTTCATTGGAACAATAAAGTTCATTTGTAGTAAAACATTAAAGAATTATAGCTCTAGCATTACTTAGTTGTGACACAGGGATAAATAAAACCTGAGTCAAAATCTGAATACATTAAAGATTCAATAATTCATTATTAAATACTTTAGTTATTTAACTAAAATAAGGAACCAATTTAGCGTTTTTTGCTCTGATCCATCATCTGAACCCTCAGCCAGCTGACCGATCAACTGAGAATTAAAGTGATGTCAATTTTAAACTTTGACTCTGACAAAAAACGGTTTGTAAGCTCAATCATCCAGGTAGATGAAAACAAAAAAAGGTTAAACGAAACATTTCTCCCTTAAAGAAACTTGTCCAGATGACAATTAAACCTGTTTTGTTTTGACTCTGACAGAAGAAAGAGAAGCAGCCTATCTGTGGCGAGCTTTAGAGTAAAATCGCACAGGGCTGTGACTGTTGGAGAATAGTTGGTGACTCAGAGTGGTGAGAAGATCAGCAGATATTCCACTGCAGAATCACTGAATCGAGTGGCTGCAACAAACTAGCCATGTGGACGCAATTTGAACGGACACTTTTTGACAATCGTGGCCCAGTTTCGTTAGCACATCTTGGAAAATGGCATTCTTGGCCGTGCGCAACATTTTGTTCCAGAAATTGGCAGCAGCCCCAATGTTTACAATTTCCATCCATCCATTATCTTTACCCGCTTTTTCCTTTTCAGGTCGCGGGGGTCACTGGTGCCCATATCCAGCAGTCACTGTGCGAGGGGCGGGATCCATCCAGTCCATCACAGGGACATAAACAAACGAGACAACCAACCATTCACTCTCTCACTCACACCTAGGGACAATTTAGTTGCCGATCAGCCTAACATGCATGTTTTTGATCTGTTTGCTGTAATTATATCTTGCTTTTATTTGATGCTGTGATCTTTTTGTTAAGCACTTTGGTAACGGTTCCCGTTTTAAATGTGCTATACAAATAAATCTGACTTGACTTGCTGGAGGAAATTGGAGTACCTGGAGAAAACCCACATTCAAACTTCACCCAGAAAGTTCCCTGGCTGGGATTCGATCCGACGACCTTCAGCTTTACCAACCCGCCATGCTGCCCTACAATTTCATCTACTCAAGTAAATTTTTTTAAATGAATATAGGCAGATTTAGAACAGTGTTTTTAAACTAACATTTATCATCTGTTTTGTCTTTAGACCTGAACATTTGGAGTTGTTGTCTTGCATAAATTCTGTGAAAGGAGTACTTCCATGCTGGTGTCAAAATGTGTCCTTGAGATAGGTTGGAGATGCATGCGGCAAAACCGAGATAGAGTCAAGGCATGTTTGAGATGCTTCTGATGACTCTGAAAAAGCTGTTGCAAAATGTTTTGAACATAAATTCAAGTAACAAAACTGTGCAACTATGCGAATGATGCAAGGAAATAAAATAAAAAACACAAACGTAACCAGGACGTTTTGGAGATTTCACAAAAGCCAACTAATCTGCAACATCTACAGTGAGATATTACCTTTAATAATTCATAAACTGGTTCTGCCACAGAAAACCCAAAGTTTTCCTTGGCTGTCGTTTACTACAGAACTTCAAAATCAGCTCCCATTTTATATTGAATTGTACAAAAACAGCTGAACCTGCTTAAAAGTTTAACCTTAAAGCAGCCAGTCCAGTAAATAACCAACATCCTGAGCTCTAAACTTGTCCTGATGGGAAATGATGCAAATCAACTTTTAAATTTGTTAAAAGTTCAAACCACAAAAACAGCCTGTTTAAACACAGAAGCCAAAAACTTCACCTTCCTTCAATAACCAATCCAACTCATTCATAGTTAATACCTGCAGGCCATGAAGGCGTCTCAGGAAAACAACTGGAAAATGTGCATTTTTTTACAGAAACTTTATCCTTAAAGAGGAAGAGTACCTGATTCTCAGATATCTCCTCACTCCATTGCTGCTCCGTCCATGCCGACACATCCTTCCAGTCCGTGTACTCTCCCACCTGAAGGTCTGAGTGAGTTCTCACCGCAGCCGCTTGTTGGACCACAGACGAAGCTGCACGCACACACACACAGTCACACACAGAGCTTCATCCTGGACATTAGACTGGAGCACAAGCTCACCTGAGTTCACCAGGAACACCGTCCTCCTGGCGTTCTCCTGGTAGCTCCCTCGGATTTGGTGGGAGAGCTCTTTAGTTAGAAGTACTGCAATGAAAGTCTTCCCTGAGTCGGTGTTCAAGCAGACGATAGTGTTGCGTTCAAGAGCTGCTTCGAGAAGTTCAACCTGTGGACAACGTCACAAAGTCAGAAAAACATATATCATAACAGCTAAACAAAGAAAAATAAAAAAGAAATGACTATTTTCTGTGAGAATGCTGAGTGTTAAATGACTGCCAAAATTTGTTTAGGAAGTTGACACTGAGATGTTAAAGTTAAAACACGCTAAACAAACAAACAAAAAAAAAGGGCAAATCTATAGCTAAAAGCTAAGTAAATCTGAAGCTCAAAGCTAAAATTAACAACTGCAGCTAAATGCTACACCTATTTTTGCTCAAACTTAAAATTAACAAAGCTCCAGCTAAAAAAAAAAACATATCTATAATCAAAACTTCAGCTCAAAGCTGCAAATTAGTTGCTTAAAGTTAAAATTAACACAATTATGTCTAAAATCTAAAATGAGAAAAACTGCAACATCAAATTAAAAAAACAGAAGCTACAAATTGTCATTGAGGAGCTAAAAAGGAGCATAAATAGACAGAAATGGAACAAATATGCTGATGTAAATTTCAAAGAACAATGTTTTCAAAGGAAATGAAGAGATTTTTATATATTTCTGTGGGGGGGAAACAATTGAAAAAAAATCCAATAATTCTCAGTCAGGTCATCTGGACAGTTTCTTTTTTATAGAGACGTTTCACCCTCTATCCGGAGGGCTTCATCAGTCTGAGGAGTTCCAGTAAACTGTTTTCCTAATTCTAAATAAAGTTAAATATATTAAAAGTAGAATAGTTACAAAAAGCAAACATCATAATACACTATTCCTGACTGAGATGATTGTTTTGGTATGCGATTGGGTGAAATGGCACAAAGTATAAACACAACGCAGGCATTTAATCTTAAAAATAGAAAAATAATATAAAAAATAGTTTTAGTTGGTCAGAATGTACAATCTGTGGAGGAGGATTCAAACCAAAGACATGCTAACAGGTGAACTTACCTGATATTTCCTGGGGGTGTAGATGTTGTCATGGATGGCCTCCTGCTGCCACGGCAGACCAACGAACGGCCCCATGGGTGACGTGGCAGGGGTGACCAGCTGCAGGCCCGCCATGCTGCAGAGGGAAGGGAGGTTGAAGGGGCTGAGCTCCTCCAGACGTCCCCTTATCTCATTTCATCATCCTGTCTTTACTGAAGTTCACTGGCAGGAGACAGAAGCGTCACAATCACGTCAAACCGATGACAGAAACCAAAATCAATCTGTCAGAGGATGAGCAGGATCATCGAGATGACAAGATACTCACAGGTAACAGGTGAGAGTTGCCGGAAACACTTAATCTGGGCTTCATGATAAGATTTAAATTCGTTGACTCCGATTGTTTCCTCACATTTAGATGGGAACAGACCTGAAACAACAACAGCAATAAATAAAAACAGAACATCGTTATGATGCCCTGCAAAATCACTACAAACACCTGGAACAGACAGCCCACCTGTCAGCAGGTGTCATCCAGCAGCACTGACTGAACCCTGCAGCTCTGCACGAACTGCAGGGACAGGTGGAAAGGTAAGATCCGATCATAATAATCAGACAATTAAAAACTAATGGACACAATATTCATTCAACCTTTATTTAGACTGGTTAATCCCATTGAGCCTCGGGGACTCATTTACAATATAACAGTAAGCAGTGATAATTTGTTAAATAACGGACAACCATGATCTGATGTTTCAGTTTTACGTCTCTAGCTCGGGTCACCTGGACTGGACCAACAGTCCGGACAGAAACAAACCCGCAGTCAGAGCTCGGACCGAACCAGGATTCGAACCAGGAGGTACCAGCAATGCGTTATCACGGCTATTATTAGCAAGTGTAACGGCTAGCCTCAGTGTGTGGACACCCCTGCTATGACCCGGTTCGTTTGGGGACACGCACCCGGGACAGGACCGTGTATGATTCGACACAAACACACGGTCCGAGTCCATAACCAGCCCAGCAGCGTGTAGACAGAACCGCGACTCCATGCTCCATCATGCCAGACAAGCTAACACAGCTAGCAGGGCCGTTCTGTCCCAGCGAATAGTTCAGAAAACCCAAACAGAACTTCAGAACCTCACCTGCTGCTTTAGTTTCTCCTGATTGTCTCGACTGAAAAGACGTGAACTCGTTCGGTGGAAGTATTAGGTGCCATCCAGGTTCGTTGTCCCGAATCGTGGTTACTCGTCCACGGGGAACTACTTCCTTCCACCTGGGCCTCTGCTACGTTAAAACATGTACGCCAACCGCGCAGCTGCGCATGCAGCGGAGCACTGACTTTCTACGTAAAACGGACGAGAATAGCAGTCCTGCGTAAGGAGGTAATTCGCCTCGGACGGAAAGCGTCAACAGCTCAAGAGCGGAGGGAGATTACTGAGGGGCCGGGGGCCACAAGACCGGGGTTTGCGGGGGAACCTGACCCGGAGAGGGTTCTTCTGATCAAAACCTGAAAAATGGCCCAGAAAACTGTAATTGATGAAAAATTAATCCACA